ACACACACACACACACACACACACACACACACACACTACCATCCCTGGTGTTATACAGCCCGGCCCACCCCGCCGCCACAACCACGTCTCGTATAAACATAACGTAAGTTCCTCTCTAGACTGAAATTATAATTGGCTTCATAGTTTTATATCAAAATTATGGTCTAATTTCCGTCGACTTCTTAGGTATATTATCTTGGTCTCCTGTCTACTCCCGCCCCCCCCCCACGCCCTCACCCCTGGCCAGAGGGGGGGGCCACGACCCCTCACCCCGGCCAGAGGGGGGCCACGACCCCTCACCCCTGGCCAGAGGGGGGGGCCACGACCCCTCACCCCTGGCCAGAGGGGGGCCATGACCCCTCCCCTCTCAACGCGACACGTGGAGGATGAGGCCACGACTCCCCTTCTGAGGGGAGGGTCGTGGTCCCCTCCGCCTGACCCATGGAGGATAAGACAACGACCTTCAACCCTCTCAACCTGACTCTTTTTTTTGAGTAAAGAGGAAGGAGAGGCATAGGTGAAGGAAAGTATAGAAGTGGGAAATACAGTGAGAGGTATGAAAGCAGGCGGGCTGTCCGCCTTGCTGACACGATGTGTGGGTGTTGGCAGCTAAGCTAAGCTGGCTCCCTCTTGTCAGGGAGCTGTGAGTGTGTGAGAGGTTCTTCACATGTGTTTCACCATATATGGATGTCCATAGATGAATACTGTGTAGCATTCAAATATACACACTCCGATGCTTCCACACATGTTGTTTTGTTTAAGGCTCTTTATTTTTATTATTATTATTTATCGAGTTGTTCATACATACACATATATACATACATACATACTCACCCATACACATACATATACATACATATATATACATACATATACACACACACACACATACATATACATACATATATATACATACATATACACACACACACACACACACACACACACACACACACACACACACACACACACACACACACACACACACACACACATATACACATACATACACACATACACACATACATACACACATACATACTCAATTTTTCAATTATTGGGGAAGGATATCTGGTCAGTATACCATCTGGGAATTATGTACTGTGGGGCGGGGTTTTCATCTAGTGAATCGAGGCTCTTGGGCCACCAGCTGTGGGAGCGGGGCGTCTCATCTTGGGCCACCAGCTGTGGGAGCGGGGCGTCTCATCTTGGGCCACCAGCTGTGGGAGCGGGGCGTCTCATCTTGGAGTAATCTTTCTAACATTTCGATGGTGTTCCACACCCTGATGGCTTGGTGCTGCAGTCTGATGTTTAGTGGCTGTATGTTCAGGAGCTCATAGAGCTCCTGGATTGTCTGATTATATGGTGGACGGTGTTTTGCTGCTCTCCTTAGCGCCTTATTTTGTACTGCTTGCAGTTTCTGCATGTTAGTTTTCTTTATGGTGTGTAGTGGTACTGGGGGATACTCTAGATGCGGCCGAACTAGAGCCTTATATAGGTGGATCTGAATGTTAGTACTGAGGCTTCGAAATCTCCTCAATATTCCTAAGGCTGCTTTGGCTTTGTTTAGTCGGTCCCTTACATGAATTTGTATCCCTGTTCTATTTATCATAAGTCCCAGTATTCTGCCGACCTCCGCATATTGGATCGGCTGGTTGTCAAGGATAATGGGGTCCGGGTTTCTTTTCGCAATGTGTATTATCTGAAGCTTTTGTTTGTTGTCGCTAATTTTCCATTGCTTCTCAAAAGTTGTTTATGAGTTCAATTGCTGCCTTGGTCTTGTCGGCTTGCAGGAGAGGTGGTGTCACGACCCCCCCACCCACCACCCACCCCTACAGCCTGATGGTTGGGGGGGGGGGGTAGGTTCCTCATGGCCTGACCCATTGGGCTACCACAACCATATAGGAGGGGGGGGGGGCCACTCACCCATTTAACCCTCCCCACCACCATAAAGTATCCCCCGCACCCCCTGGGGGCCTAACATTGTCACCAGGACATTACCTGTGCACCTTGGAGCACGTCTTCCACAACAGTAGTGAACTACCCGACTTGTCTTAACTACCAGGGTCTTCCGGGTGATCCTAGCTGACTGCTCCTGACGCGGCTCCTCCAGGCGGAAGTCAGACAAACCTCGCCGCGTCACAATGCTTAGTTCACACACAAGAAAATTAACGCACTGCTGAATTCCAAAGTTTTTGGGGAAATTACCTCAGTAATATACCTTTACCGCAGAGCTGGTGTCGGCCTGGAGCAGTTTCCTGGGTGATGCTTTGACCGCAGCGAGAACCTCTTAGTGTTAGTCTTATCATCCTTCACCTGTCTCGGTGTGACACGAGGGGTGTGTGACACGAGGGTGTGTGACACGAGGGGTGTGTGACACGAGGGGTGTGACACGAGGGTGTGTGACACGAGGGGTGTGTGACACGAGGGGTGTGACACGAGGGTGTGTGACACGAGGGGTGTGTGACACGAGGGGTGTGACACGAGGGGTGTGTGACACGAGGGGTGTGACACGAGGGTGTGTGACACGAGGGGTGTGGCACCAGACCTGACATAGGGAGGCAGATCACGCCCCTGGGAGCGTCAAGGTAAGGGATCTCACTCCCTTAATACGCTCTTTTTTCCCCCCTCAAGCAACAAGGGTTTTTGCCCCCTGGAGTCACACTTTCTTCCCGCGGTTAACCGCACTCCCTGAACCGTGTTTCCGTTACAATAAATGCCCGGTGGTTCCATCAAACTGTTGGAGCACACTTCCGGTCCACACCTGCCGCACAAGCCTGACGATAAACACCTGATATATCCATACATAATTGACAATTTAAACATGGGACTTACGAATGTTAGTCTTAACATATTGTCCTGTAAGCATTGTAAACAAAACGTTTTGAAAATTAAGCGTAACTAATAGTTTTAGGCACTGATAAAAGTACTAGGCTTGTACTTACCTAGATGTATTTGCTGGGTCGTGCAGCTGTCATTCAACCGTCAATAATTCAATGCAATAAATGTTCACTTTTATCTTGTTTTCATCTTGCGTCAGATATTATCGACCTCGTCCGCAAGAGGGCGGACGAGGCTGCTGCAAATAAAATATTGCGTGTGAGGCACAGATTTTCAAACCGGAATGCCGCTTGAAAATCCGAGATCAAAACAATACAGAATCCTCTATGCAATTGATTTAAATAATATGTTAGATAAATAAATATATTGTTACTTTGAAAGGGAATAATTTTCTATAAAATTATTTTAGTGGCGGGCATTCTTAGGAATGTACGTCACTGGTTAGCTAATTTCCGTTTCCAGCTTCCACCTATGTTCCCTTGTCCTATTTTCTCTCACTGTAAAGCGCCTATCTGTGCCTACCTCGTCTATTTTGCACGGTATGTTATATGTTGTGATCATATCCCCTATGTTCCTTCTCTCCTGTTAGGTTGTGAGGTTTTGTGAGGTAACATGCCCTTGTAATTAAGGTAGGTAGTTCAGATTCGAGTCTCGACAAACGTATGACTTTTTCAAGTTTAGGTTTATGCTTGACGAGGTGCAGATGCCACGATGGTGTGTAGATTAGTATAGCCTCACAGTCTTGATTTACATTTTCAAACACTGTTTTGATTTGTGTTAGCTGCCCGTATGTCGGGTGTATAGGATATTTGTCCCCTAACTCCCCTTGCCACTTCGGGGGGGTATAGGGTTTTTATGTAGCTTCGGAGCCCGATCCCCCCAGCCACAGGGCATGGCGAGACGGACCCCTATGCATACCTAATACCCTAACACACACAAACTAAAATAAACATATATGGCAGATCTCATCACACCCACAAGAGTTAAGATGATACTAATAATACATAATAATAACCTGAAAATAAACAAAAATATTAATGGAAAATTCTTTTGTATTTGGTTTTTTCTATATGGGACACAGCACACATAGGTAGGGGTGCACAGTATAACATGTAAAAAAAAACAAACAAACGCTGAAGGCCAAAGCAGCAGGCTGCCCAATCGGCAGGGATGATGATTTGACGTCGGCATACATGGAAAACTAGACACAGTGGATGCTCCTAACCAGGCCCCGGAGCGGGAGGGTTATCATGTATGCGCATGGGGTCCCTCCGGACGCCGCCTTATCTACTCGCGGGCTCTGCCAGGTCATCCACCCTCTTGTGAGACGCCATTAGGAGAAGTGGTACTCCAGATGACGAAACTGCTTAGATAGTTGGCTACCAGCTGACTTGGCTGCGGTTCACCTAAGCGTGACTATAGTTACCCTTATGCACCCTGTGCACAGTGACCCCGGGGCTAGGGGGGCCTGCCCCTTGACGTGGCCTTGGACCATATTCTGTATATAGAATACGTCCAGGTCAGGGCCTTCACGGAGCAAATCTCGAGATCGCTCTTGGTGAGACCCATACCTTGTAGACCACGCGCACTCTCCTTGCACCATCCACCTCTCCAATTAAGGGTTATTGAGGACTGTAGGCTTACCGGTATACTCCCGGACCTTCTGCAGGATCTCGGGGGTGCCGTATTTGTCGCACTTGCTCTGATGTGGACGGGAGAGTGGGAAGTTATCAGCTGAGACCTGGGTGTCTAATATGAAGGCCTCATCACCTTTGCAAGCTATAATATCTGGCTTGCAGAAGGTCCCTCCGTCTGGTATACGGACCTCGCGCTCCACCTCAAAGCCTCTTTGCCGCAATCGGCCAGCTACGAACCGGGTGATGTCGTCGTGACGTTTCACCCGAGCCCCGTGTGTCTTATGGCAGGCCTGGGATATGTGGCCCAGGGTTCCTGGTTTCCGACAAGCGTCACAGAGACCAGAAGCCTCGGGTCTACATCTGTTACTACCGGTTATGTTCTCTAATATCCATTTATATATATATATATATATATATATATATATATATATATATATATATATATATATATATATATATATATTTACTTATTTACATATTAATAAGTTTTGTAAGTAATGGTATTGTACTTACGGGTTTCAGGAAGTGTTGGTGGATTAAGGCGAGTGTAGAGTGCAGGGAGAGATGTGGTGCAGCCTGCACCATCACGATGTGACGGTGTCGTCTCACCTCTACTGAACACTCCTGGGTAAGTCCCCCACACGGCTGGCTCACCACTCGCATCAGTAAGTCACCATCCATCATTATCTCGCTGCGTTATTACTCGTGAATCTATGAAGCGTGTGACCTGTTATTGTATGGTGGTGGACCACAGTTGTGGTCACTACACACCTCAAGGCCCTCCTTCACACGTGTACAATAATCTATAAGTATAACCTTGACACAGCTTTCATAGCGTATATTCTTGGACACGAGGTGCGTGGGGGACACTATTACTCTTGGACACGAGGTGCGTGGGGGACACTATTACTCTTGGACACGAGGTGCGTGGGGGACACTATTACTCTTGGACACGAGGTGCGTGGGGGACACTATTACTCTTGGACACGAGGTGCGTGGGGGACACTATTACTCTTGGACACGAGGTGCGTGGGGGACACTATTATTCTTGGACACGAGGTGCGTGGGGGACACTATTATTCTTGGACACGAGGTGCGTGGGGGACACTATTACTCTTGGACACGAGGTGCGTGGGGGACACTATTACTCTTGGACACGAGGTGCGTGGGGGACACTATTACTCTTGGACACGAGGTGCGTGGGGGACACTATTACTCTTGGACACGAGGTGCGTGGGGGACACTATTATTCTTGGACACGAGGTGCGTGGGGGACACTATTATTCTTGGACACGAGGTGCGTGGGGGACACTATTACTCTTGGACACGAGGTGCGTGGGGGACACTATTACTCTTGGACACGAGGTGCGTGGGGGACACTATTACTCTTGGACACGAGGTGAAGGACTATAGTGACCAGTGACCAGGTGATGACGGCACACCCAGTGACCAGGTGATGACGGCACACCCAGTGACCAGGTGATGACAGCACACCACCGGCTGTTGACCAGTCCGTGTCCACAATAAGGTCCTCTGGTGTAAGACGGGTCTGGTGTGGTTATCAGGTTAAATACCTTTGATCTCCAGGTATATGATAAATATTGGCTTAAATAGCCGTGGTAGGCTTTATAAAGGCTTGGTTGTACTGTAGGAACAACCCGGCCTCTGAACACCACATCGCATTTTGACCTATATATCCATTAAGGCCAGAAACTGATTGAACTAAAAATCATAGCGGGTCGCGAAATTGACCTGATGTCCCGTTTTCTATTCGTGAGTCCTCTGTTAGGTTAGGTACGGCCAATTTAATACATCAGTTTAGTGACGTTGGGAACGATCGAACAGTCAGTAGTAGTAGTAGTAGGCATCCTTCAGTCTAAAGACTATGGAGTTGCGCCCTGACTGGGCGCAAAGTCTGGGTAGGTAGATATGGAGGAGAAGCTGTTACCCATGCAGCAGGTCCCCCCTCTCCACGTTGCTGATATTATCCAACAGTCAGTATTTGTATATTTTATGAAGTAGGTAATTAACTCGGGCGTTTGGAGCATAAGCGGCACTATAAGCTTACTAAGGTCCCATTAAGGGACCGGGTGCCACAAAAATATTCGTCCCGACATGAAACATTGTGAAAACTGCTAAACAAATCTCACGTTATTTGGCATCAGCGTCGGGAAAATTCCATCCCAATATATTCAGAAATGGATTTTATACGAATTATAAAAAAGTGCACAAGCAGTACTGATGATAACAATAACACCTCCTAGTTAGTGGAGCTCAGGGGTAATGACGTGATTAGAGAGGCAAGCGCCTGGTCGACGCACAAAGGAGACTAGTAGTAGTAGTCAAGATGGTCCACAGGGTGAGAGTGAGAGAGAGAGAGAGAGAGAGAGAAGATTAAGCCACCCAAAAGGTGGCATGGACATGAATAGCCCATAAGTGGTGGCCCTTTTGAGCCATTTCCAGTATCAATAGATGATACTGGAGATCTGTGGAGGTGCGACTGCACCCTGCGTGACGGGAGATGTCTCCCGTGCCACAGAGTGAGATATGCAGCTGGTACCTTCTACGACTGCCACCTGGAGGGCAAAATTCCATACAAATAATAATAATAATGAGTAAGTATGTGTTGCTGTTAGATATATATCATATAAATACATTACCCAATGGCAATATTTCTAATGTCCAACAATATATTTTTTTGAGGGGGGAGGGACTTTTTTTTCCTCTTTGTTTCTCATCTAATTTTGTCGTGGCGTCTATATCTTTGAGAATACACATCCGTCACTAAACATGTGAAATTGGAACGAAATTGGTCGCACGTGCCAGAACTTGTGACTTAATTTTTTTTTTTGCCGAGTTATTTACAGATTTCAAACTCTATTTTCTTTGTCTCTTTAGGTTGTTTTTGCTGACTGGGGACCAGATTAAGGCTTTATCACTAGTATAAAGTATACATATATATCCCCTAACCCATTATAATTATCCCTATATATATATATATATATATATATTTTTTTTTTTTTTGGGGGGGGGGTTATTTTTTCTTGACTTCACTGACCTACAACTTTCACATATTCGAGTACGAATGCCAAGCAATATTTATGAAAACTTACAAATTATTACATCAATTCGAACTACTATATCAGTCCGTCCTCCAAAATTTAGGAGGTAAATGTAACAGCACAAGTAAGTATAATTATGTACTATTCATAGCAGTCAGGAATTGTACTTATTTCCACTTAGTATTTAACCGTACTGTCAAATATATTGAGAATATTTGAGTTTACCTGAAAAGTGGAATAGAAAACCACAACCTAACCTAACCTTCTCAGTGTTTGAAGATAGGCATTTTATTGCTTCTTAATTACAATTAGTGCTTAACCTATAGCTATATTGATATTACAGTTTTATAAAACTAAAATATATCAATAAATTGTAAAGTGAATTAGGATATTTTCAGATTTTGCATTAAATCTCAATAGTTTAATAAAACTGAAAAAGAAATTCCTGATATTTAAAACTTGTGTATATTGAGTTATACTTGAAAACTTCATCCTAATATTCTGTTTTAACAGAAAACGAGGAGAATAAATGGGAAGGTAAATGTAACAGCCCCATAAGTGCAATTATGTACTATGTACGACAGTAAGAAATGTACTTATTACACTTAGTATTAAACCGTACCGTCTATTCGGAGGATGGGTTGACTATATTTATTGTCGAGAAGTTTACCTTTATTTTTCTGTATGAGCAGGATTTTCAACTTTGAGACCTAGTTAAAAATTCAGTTTCTGACCCATTCTCACCATTTTTACATATTATGTGCAACATTCTTAGTTCTAAGGTTTCCATAAAGCCATAACTTTTGGAGTTATACATTTTTGCGTCTAAATTTTGCGCATATTTTGAAGGCCACATTGAATATTTTTTTTACACTAAACTATACTCTCAAACTAAATTTTAGCTCTACGAAAATGAACGTTATATGCCATTCTGAGCCCATAATGAATAAAATAAAAATTGGTGACATTTTAAATAAGAAACTAATTTGAAATTTTGAAATATATAATTTTTTTTTAATATTTTTATTTTATTTTCTATTCATGTTATGATGTTTATCCATTAGGAAAAGTTGGAGTATTTAGCATGTAGATTATGCACACAAAATTTGAGTGTTTGAGGAAGGTTGAGAAATTTTGCACCCGGCCCCTTAACCCAACGACTGACCTTCATCGGGATTCAAGCCACAAGTAACTAAGTGATTGTAACCTATCCACCGCTGCCCACTGGATGGGGGGCGGTGTGCAGGACAAACATATCAATTGTGACACTAGCTCTCCACATATGTCAGTTGCTTAATTTAGAACCTGTACTCGAGGTCGATCTCGAACCCATTGATGATGTGACGACTTATATTGAATTTTGTAACTAGCTCATCAAGATTGTAACTTGCTTAGCTAAATGAATTGTGGGGTTCAGTCCCTGAGCCCATTATGTGCCTCTGTAACCCTTTCCACTACCGCCCACAAGATGGGTATGGGGTGCATAATAAATGAACTAAACTAAAAACTGCTATGTGACGAGGTTCATTAGGTGTAAGGAAACTTGTTCCAACGTCTCCGTCCTGCCACGGGAGCCGGTCGGCCGAGCGGACAGCACGCTGGACTTGTGATCCTGTGGTCCTGGGTTCGATCCCAGGCGCCGGCGAGAAACAATGGGCAGAGTTTCTTTCACCCTATGCCCCTGTTACCTAGCAGTAAAATAGGTACCTGGGTGTTAGTCAGCTGTCACGGGCTGCTTCCTGGGGGTGGAGGCCTGGTCGAGGACCGGGCCGCGGGGACACTAAAAAAGCCCCGAAATCATCTCAAGATAACCTCAAGATAACGTCTCCGTCCTGCCACGGGAGGAGAACCCACCACTGTTCCGTTCTGAACCGACCGGCTTGGTTCTTTTCAGTGCATGTTTCTTAAAGAAAGGCAATTAGGGACAGTAATTAGCAAAGGGTATAACACATATTTTAAGGTATGGTTAAGCATTTATGAATCATAGACATTTATCATCTAGGTTAAACGTCATAGTGCTGAAAAAATACTTTAGTTAGTCGTAAAATGTTGCCAGACTGAGTTAAGAGAAAATGGGACATGTAACTGGCAAAATATATGGTAGACCTTTATTTATTTATTTATATATATACAAGAAGGTACATTGGGATTGTGAGGATACATGGCATAGTAATTACATTCTTGTAAAGCCACTAGTACGCGGAGCGTTTCGGGCAGGTCCTTAATCTGAGAAACTTATAAGTAGGTAAATACTTGCAAAATTTATAAAAATGATAACAGTTGCATAGCATGAAAAAAATAAAAGATGAGAGAAAAATTGTAGGTATATTAAAGCACATATGTAGCTCAGAATGATTGCAGTGACAGCTTGAATGGTAGTTTAACAAAACTTAGCAGGCACAATACAGCATATGGCTAGCACATAAAAGAAGACAGCAATGACCACAATGATAAAGTTGTTTGGCTTAAGTACATAAAGATTGGGAGATTGGGGTAACACTAGATACAGAGCAAGTTTAAAGCTCAGTGTAGGAAACTACGAAGATGAAATTAGGTACTTTTTGTTTTTGTTTTTAAATGAGGCAAAAGTTGGACAGCTTTTCAATTCACTAGGGAGTGAGTTCCATAGACTGGGTCCCTTAATTTGCAAAGTGTTTACACAGATTAAGTTTGACCCTGGGGATATCAAAGAGATATTTATTTCTGGTGTGCTGATAATGGGTCCTATTACATCTGTCCAGGGAGAGTTTCAGAGCATGGTTTACATTAAGAACAGGGTTTTGTAAATGTAGTTGACACAAGGGAATGTGTGGAGGGAGTTAATATTTAGCATGTTTAGGGATTTAAACAAGGGAGCTGAGTGTTGTCTGAAAGCAGAGTTTGTTATTATTCTGATAGCAGATTTTTGCTGGGTGATGGTGGTTTTTGCTTAAGGTGGTTTGCAGTGGTTGACCCCCATGCACAGATACCATAATTAAGATAGGGATAGATTAGTGCATAATATAGTGAGAGGAGAGCAGAGTTAGGAACATAATATCTTATTTTAGAGAGTATACCAACTGTCTTAGAGACTTTCTTAGTTATGTGTTGAATGTGGGTGCTGAAGTTGAGTCTCTTGTCTAGGAATAGGCCAAGAAACTTTCCATCAATTTTATTACTGATGTTAATGTTGTCTACCTGTAGCTGAATTGCATTCGATGATTTACTTCCAAATAAGATGTAGTAGGTCTTTTCCCTGTTTAGTGTTAGTTTGTTAGTTGACATCCATAGGTGGACTTTTTTTAATTCATTATTCACAACATTATTTAGTGTATGTGGGTTGGGGTCTGAATAGATGAGATAGATGAGGGTAGTATCATCAGCAAACAATATAGGTTTAAGAATATTAGAGACATTAGGCAGATCATTGATATATATAAGAAATAGAAGAGGTCCTAAGATGCTGCCCTGTGGCACTCCTACGGTTATTGGTAGAGTGAAAGAGGTTGTATCATTGATGATTACACATTGGTGTCTGTCACCTAGATAGGATAGGATATTGTCCAGGGCAAGGCCTCGGATTCCATAATGTTGGAGTTTAAGTAAAAGTTTACTTTAACATTATTTTCATACAGCGATAATACTCACCATGACAGCCCATGAGGAAGGAATCTGGTGTGTTGGCAGTAGAGTAATAGTAATAGCCTCTTGATAGTTCACCTCGTGTCACACCTCGTCCAAAAATCAGGGAGCAGATAGAGAGCCAAGGAGCACACCAAGGTGTGGTCACCTCTGGCGTTCTCTTTCTCATAGACCTGGACCTGTTGTATAACGCTTTGAAACTACTGACAGTTTAGACCTCCATATTCTCACTTAGCTTGTTCCAACTGTCTACCACTATTTGCAAAAGTATATTTTCTTATATTTTCTCATTGTGCGTGAGAGTTTGGGAGAGAGTGAGTGAGTCATATATATTCTTACATTTTCACTGAAACTGGCATAAATTATCCTGTATAAACATTAACACAATCAATTAGAGTAGGCTATCTTCAGTATTTTTTTTTATTGACACATTTTTATTTCCACCATTTAAGGGACTATCATGTTGTTTGAGTTATAAAAGGGTGCTACCCATTTTATTACCAAATGTGGTTATAAAATTACTTTCAACCCTTTCACTTATAGTTCTTTGCCATATTCTTTGGTAGGCCTATCTATTCCAATTTTTATTTTTTTATATAAACTAAAATATTAATATACGGTACTTGTTCCAGGTAAAGTTATGTCGATGGGCTGGGGAGGCATGGTGGTGGGACCAGGATGGTGGGGAGCTGGAGGTGGAGGTAAGAGTGCCGTTCAACTGCTACAGGAAAGCAAGTCTCGCTATGTCAAAAGTGACCATGTACTTGGTAGCAGCCAAACCCCTGCTCGACCAGACCGCCTGCATATATCCTCCAATCCAAACATCTTCTTAAGTGCTCCATCACATACTCTTCATGTATCACGACCTTCACCAGCTCCAGAACGACGCCATGCTCTTGCTGAGCACAACAATATTGTAAATTTACGTGATCACCATAGTCTTGCAGGATTATCTCCTCCACGTTTAGTCCCATTAACAGGCCCAGCATCTTTAGGAGCACAACCTCCTCCTCTGCCAGCACGTTCACCTCGTGTCACACCTCGTCCAAAAATCAGGGGGCAGGGAGAGAGCCAAGGAGGGCGGTGTGGTGACCTCCGGCGTTCTCTTTCTCATGGTCCTGGAGACCGTAATGATAATGTCCAGATGAAACTACGTCGTTTGCTCAACACCGACTCCCAAGAAAATTTAGCTTCATTGTTGCAGCCACCAACTGAAACAAAGCCAAAAATACCACCCCCAGCACCTCGAAGAGGAGTGAAACTTTCTCCTCCAGGTACCTACAGAGCTGAACCTGCTACAGTTACTGCACACAAATCTTTACCAGATCTTAATCGAGCTGCTTCTCCTGCAGGAGAAACAGATTCTGAATGTGGTACCAGTGGACGTCGGCGGCCATCATGTCCTGGTGCACTGCCCTCCAGAAACAATGCTCCAGAACCTCCTCCTCGACCACCACGCATGTTTCGTGATCCACCACCTCTCCCTGAGCATTCTACAGACAGGCCTCCTGCAAGGCCACCTCTGCCACAGAGGCTACGAGAACCATCAATACCACGTTTATCTCGGTCTGGTGCATTGGCAACAACGCTAATGCCAACTGATGGCCGACGATCATCAGACAGTGATGTGTCTGCATATGGAGGCACTGGAAGTGGAGTCAGTAATAATGAGGAGGGACGACGCAGACCAATTCTCAGATCCAGGTCAGATGTTACACATGAACGAGGCCACTGGGAAGAAGATCTTCACAACTCTTTAGCACCTTTGGATTTAGAGGCTTTCTTTGAATCTATGGGTCTAGATTCTGTTACACACCGTCAGCTCACCTCTCCTCCCAATTCCCGACATTCCTCACCAGTTTATTTTGAGGAGGTTTCCTCTGAGGAATCTGGTCCATTGGGTGGTCGTCGAGGCAGTTCTGACTCTGATGATGGGCGGGGACTTTCAGGCCCTGGTCCTGGTCCACCTTTACCTCTTCGGGGTACTGGCGAGCCATCTATTGTAGAAAAGAATGCGCGTGTTATTAAATGGCTGTTTAACTGCCAGAAAGCACAAGGCACGTATGTTTCAAGAGTTGCTTCCATCAAAAGTTAGCCATGTGGTTTTTTTTTTTTTACTAGTCTACAGTCATTAATTGTGCAAGGAAAGGAACTGTTAGGGGAACAAGCTCTTTCCTTCCTTCCACTAATGCACAACAAATTTGGCTGTTTTACTGTGATAATCAGAGTGACAACTCAAATTTTAAGCAGTCAACCCTTCATAGTTCAATAGTCATTTATCATGAACATGCAGGATCCACCAGAGCATACAGTTTATAACTCTAATATTAATATCAGAGTGGTTATTCGATCTCCACTCATCTCAAGCTTATTACAATACTTTGTCTTGGCATTTGAAGGGAAGCCACAGTACAGGAATTTCAGCCACTAATTCTTTTTCACAAGATAAAAACCAAGAAATACTGTAGTTTGATATCTGAAGAGCCTTGCATGGTGTGGTTGGTGGCTGTCTCACAGGTGAAGCCATCAACATTTATTTAAAACAAAGATGAAAAAATGTGGGCAGCTTCAAGTTCTCAACAAACCTTCACATGTACTATAAGAAATAATAGGTCCAGATAGAAAGCAATAGACAATATGAAACAAAACTAATTTTAATTGTAGCCAAATACTATAATAACCACAGGAAAACCCTAACAGTGAAAAAGATTGCCCCTCTACAGTACCAATATCAATAACTTAGAGGCAGCTTTGTATCAAGTATAAGTTGTCAAGTTAGTAGTAACATCATAATTTGCTACAATCACAGAACCAATTACTTTAATGAAATCTTTTTATTGGACTTATTATATTTTTTACAGTACTGCATCTCAAAATTATATTGTACTTAAAATGTTACATAATCTAGCCACAAGTATTATGAATTTTCATGTACGTTGCAATTCATTGTGTACAGTATGTATATTCATTACACTGGGAACAGAGCTAAATAAGATTAGCTTAAAAAAATAATCAGAATTTTTAATATTTGAAAAAATCTATTTTGAGACTTATTCAAATAATAGCCACAACATTTTTATTATGTTAAGATGTTTAAAGAAATGCATACAAAGGCATTTTATACATATTTAATGGTATAATATTAATAAAGGTAAAGGAAAGACTCAATATATGTGTAAGTATTAATTTTTTGCATGTAACCTACATTTTTTCTCAAGGTGCTGTATACATTCTCAGACAATTGTATACAACACCTTGAGAAAGTATGTAGGCTACCTCCATTTTTTGTATACACTTGCACATATATTGGGTCTTTCGTATTTCATTCAAGCACTGCAGCAGTGTAGTAAGTTTCTTCATAATATAAATATACTTGAAAGTTGCATATGCAATAGCCCTTTGAAAATGTAAATTTTTGTTATTGATATCTTAGATTATATTCAAACTACTGTATGTATAGACTTAATATTTCTCCAGCATTTGCAATTTAAAAAATTTCACTAGTGCTCAAGTCCCACCAGCAGTGTTCTCTGTAAATTACAGCTTAAGTGAGTGATTAGTAAAAAGCAATGCCAAAAAGTGTTTAATAACTTGTATTAATGACACCTAATTATTGATATCATAACACAAAGTGTAAGGCTGTATTCGAGGCACCGAGATTTGCATTAATCTGCCTCGTCAAAATACAGTAATACCAAGGCTACATATTAGCCTTCAAGAAGTTTATATTTTGCTGCCGCTTCACATTAGCACACTACTGTTGGTTATTCTCATCCTTATTTTAAGAGCAGTTATTTAGAGGCTGTCCATCTAGGTAATGAATTTGTTTACACTGAAGTCTTACATCCACATTTAGTAATCCAATGCTACACACACACAGATCATATTACCCCTTGTTAAGATAGGATGTTCAAGAGTATTAAATGTTTTGACTGCCTGTACAAATGTATTGTGCCAATGACCTTGTTACGGTGCTAGAAAAATTATTACTCTACAAATTTCGTTTTATAATACAGTACCTTGACACTTAATAATTCATGATTTATTGTTAGGCTAGTAATTAGCATAAATGTTATCAGTTATTGCTTTTTGTAGTTTTTACTGTTTATTATTTTACCACATTAAAAGCACAGGACTGATGTGAGTACCAGTACAGTACTGCATAATAAAGTAATCTTTACTTATAATACCTGTTCAGATAAGTTTGGTATGAAATTGTTTTCATTATTTATAAACACTGAAGATGAATGGAACTAGAATTGTGTAGAGTGCACCATTATTTTATTGAAGGCCAAAGGTACAGAGTACCTGTATATGGAACCACTAGGCATGGCACATGTTTGACTACGTTATTATCAATATTAACTAGAGAACCAGAGTAAATGAGTTTGATCTCTCTTGGTAACGAAGACAAAATTAACATCGATCTAGAAGTTAACATTTCAAGATTGTGAACTACTGTAATTAAGTTTGAGTTTTAATCTTTAAACAAAATTCTACTTCAGTGGCTTGCTTTTGTAAAGTGCTTAAATATCAAGAAGAGTTGTTTTAATATAAAACTAGTTAGTAGTTTTATAAATCTTTAAAAGTAGTTTTACAGATTTTATAATCTATATAAGTAGTTTATAAGTACTGTAAATCCGAAAGTACCCGGAGCTTCAGTTGTCAAGACTAATGTTTTAACTCAAGCAATATAGAAAATATTTGATAAAATTTGCAGTGTGACTAAATTTTTCATGTGTTTTGTCTGCCAGACTTTTAAAACACTCAAGTACTCTTGTTAATACAGAATAGGCAATACAATTTATATAATTATTCTATATTCACACATACTTCAAACAAGCCAAACAAGCTCAAATTAATTTATCATCCTTGTAATGTACTGTATTCCCCATGAAATAATGTTTATGCAATACACAGTTACATCTCCCCAGGCCTGTCCAGCCCTTCCCATCCTCCCCGGCCCTGCCCATCCTCCCCGGCCCTGCCCATCCTCCCCGGCCCTGCCCATCCTCCCCGGCCCTGCCCATCCTCCCCGGCCCTGCCCATCCTCCCCGGCCCTGCCCATCCTCCCCGGCCCTGCCCATCCTCCCCGGCCCTGTCCAGCCTCCCCGGCCCTGTCCAGCCACCCCGGCTCTGTCCAGCCTCCCCAGCCCTGTCCAGCCTCCCCGGCTCTGTCCAGCCTCCCCGGCCCTGCCCAGCCTCCCCGGCCCTGCCCATCGTCCCTGGCCCTGCCCATCCTCCCCAGCCTTGCCCATCCAGAAACGGCAGCATTGCATAATACATGAACACGGTGATCAAATATGTATTATACTGTACACTGATCAAAGTACATTACACTAATTATACAGTGCAAAATGTGTGTTACTAGCAGATGCTTAAAATATTTAAGCCACTATTTTATGTATAATTTGTTGTACTATTAATTAGAATTTACTATTAATATATCAGAATAATTTATATACAAGATGTATTAAAAATGTTGAACACTTAAATTTGAGTGGACTTTAATCGTAGAGAAATACACTTATTTATACCTGTATTAGTTCTGTTTCAGTACAAAATTTAAATTTAATGTATTGTACATTATTGCATTTTAACTGTGCTGTATTCAATTAAATATATAAAGCAGATGAATCACAGTATTGAAGTGGCTGAAGATAGTATGACTAAACCACACATCAGGAAATGAAGAAACAACAACAGTTTGGTTCATCGTGGACCATTATCAAGGTGTGTAATAAATCATCATCGTTTCTTCACTTTCTGATTACCACTTTTTTTTATGACCAAACCACACAAATGTTGCAGGATCCATAAGTTCATTATATTTCTTCTTTAACATACTTTGTGACTGCAAATATGAAACTGGAGTGAATGAATAGCAAAGCATCTAAAATAAAAGAAAAATTATTATTGTAGAATACAGTATTGTATGGTAAGCTTTACAAGTCCTAGAGTAAGCTTTACAGATCATAGAGTAAGCTTTACAAGTCCCAGAATAAGCTTTACAAGTCCCAGAGTAAGCTGTACAATTCCTCAGTTCATCATACTCTGATGATCATTTAAAATTATGAATTTTGTGAAGTGTTTAAATTACAAACTTTAATTTAGATGTACAGTACGAGGTGAGGTCAGTGTTGAGCTATTACTGCCATAACACTTTAGCATCACCAAGCTGAATCTTTTCACTGCCAGTAATATTGTCAGTTAGAATATTTATCAAACAATGCATAGATATATTTTATGCTTGCCTGTAAGTATTGATCAAACATTTATATTTGACATTCAGTAGTTAATAAATAAATATAATGGATGGACTTTGATAAAAACAGACATGTATTTAACTATGTACAGGAACAGCCCCAGAAATGTATGACATTGACAAATTGCACCAATATTTATATATTGGTAGCCCTTGTCTGATAATATTTATCGTGACTAACTATTATATCTATATTAGATTGTGAAATTAAGTGACTTAAGTTTGGTGTATAGATTAGCACTTTGTCACTGCCACAGCACACCGCTTTGGAATACGTTCCCAAACTTGGCTTTGGACTAATGAAGGCTAACTGATGCCACTTTTGATGCCCACCCACCCCGGTGCTCCTGGAAGTGCAACTAGTCATGCGCCACTCTATGCTTGTTAACTGAATGAGACAGTTAAACTGCATTGCATGAGTATACAGGAATTATTTTACAATATCTTTTGTGGTGAGGCATCAACAATGAGAGTTATGGAGCAAAATGTGCATGCAATGCATCAGGATGTAGAGAAATGCTATAATTGGTAGTGATACAGTGTAGTGGATTTCAGTAAGCATGTATCTAAAGCTGCTCATTAGTAAACATTATTACCAAATAATGTAAATTTAAGCTAGGGTATACAATGGAGTACAGTATATCATTTAGTTCCCTTTTATAGAACAGACTAACTTTGTACAATAGACATTACAAGTAATGATATTGGGTTTTAAATGTGTTTTGAAATTTATCAACATTTTAAGTACAGTATATGTGCACTTTAACTCTAAAATGTGAACATGGTTAAAGATACAATATAGCATTTTATTGGCAATATTAAAATTATCTAAATTAATTTACAAGATTATCATGTTACCATTCCAATATAGGGTAGAATTTAAACTAATTATAATTTCAGCTTTTCACATAGAGATAAGGTACATGCAACAAGAGAAGTCAGTAGCTTTAAAACAAGTACTGGTTATAGGTGTTGGTTCAGTGTCTGAACTGCAGTCTCAGAGTCTAGCATACCTAATTTTATAGAAGTTTTGTATTGATATAGGTGGTTTACATATATATATAAGGAGTAGGTTAATGGAACGGCCTTGCCATTTAGAGGTAGTCAAAACTTTGCACAAGGTCTTGAGTTCTGTGTTTAGCATTTTACATTGAGCATATAATTATTGGTGGGTAGAAATTAAATATCGAATTAAATTCCTGGTTGCATTGCAAAAATATGAAACTGAAAATATTAAAGTGTTAATTACATTAGATCCAAAAATAGCCAAGTACCGTAACATTTTTCCCAGTCAAGAATAATGATACTAGATAGTTTTCTGCAACTTGAGAAAGGGTGCTCAAAAGTGATATTTCCTTAGATACTTAAGTGTAAATATCTCAATCTAGCCATGTGGAGTGCATTTTAGTACAGTGGTCTACGTCTTCGACTCTCACTCTAGGACCTCAGGGGGAGACAAATGGTTGGGCACATTTCCTTTCACCTGATGCTTCTGTTCACATGGCAGTGAACAGATAACCTGGGAGTTAAGCAACTGTTGTGGGTTGCATCCTGGGGAAGGTCAATAGTTATCCTAGAGGGACCTCAATAAGCCTAAGGTACAGGCTTCCTGTCCCTGACAATGGGAATTATTCATAACTTTTGGTCATCAGGCAAACCAAGCTTTATAGCTTTAATACTACATATAATTCAATATGTCTAGCTCTGAAATATTAATAATGAACACAAGATATTTTCCTATTGGATTTTCATTACATGAAAAAGGAATATAAAGAATTCATGATATATACAGTAAATGTTACAATGGCTAGTTACCCATCAACTTCACTGCCCATTGCTATTGATGGGTTCATAGAATTACCCAAATCCTGCTAGCATTACGTAAGTAATTAAGAAATATGGTATATTTACTCACTATAATGTTTGTGTTGAATGCAGATCATGATCAAACCTATTTTGAAATTATCTCATTTCATTACAAAATTAGAAGTAAATATGTAGCAGATGACGCCATAGGACGACGGTCCAAGCGACAATGTTGTGGAGCAACTTATCCAAGATATATTGCCAGTGGGTTTGCAAAGTTACTTCTAACATTACCTAACCCAAACTAACCTTGCCTAGCCCAGACTAACCTTACCTAAATTTGCAACAATTTGAGCAAGAAGTTTGACAACTGGATCACTGTGTACAGGAGGCCGATATGCCAGCAAACACTCTCCAGGCGACAAAATATCTTGGACAAGTCGCTCCAAAACATTGTCGCTTGGGCCGTCGACTTCCTATAGCATCACCTGCTACATATTTACATCTATTTTTGTTATGAAATGAGATCATTTCAGAATAAAATAGGTTTGATCATGTTCTGCATTCAGCACAAACATTATAGTGAGTAAATATACCATATTTCTTCACTACTTACATAATGTTAGCAGGATTTGGGTAATTCTATGAGCTGCTATTGATATAGGAATTTGTTGATATTTGAGGCTTTTAATTGTAGTAGTCCTGTATGTTATCCATGTAGTAGATCAACCAAACAGTATTTAAAGTATTTCTATTGGATAAACGTGTTTATATTGACTTTTACAATGATTTTATATCATGTATGATCTGTTTAATAAATCCAATAGACAGTATAATTCAGTTTTATTTTATTCTTCAGTTATTCACAGTTGTATAGAAAACTTGTAATATATATAATATATATATATATATATATATATATATATATATATAATATATATATATATATATATATATATATATATATATATATATATATATATATATATAAATATATATATATATGTCGTACCTAGTAGCCAGAACTCACTTCTCAGCCTACTATGCAAGGCCCGACTTGCCTAATAAGCCTAGTTTTCATGAATTAATGTTTTTTCGTCTACCTAACCTACCTAACCTAACCTAGCTTTTTTTGGCTACCTAACCTAACCTTACCTATATATATAGGTTAGGTTAGGTAGGGTTGGTTAGGTTCGGTCATATATCTACGTTAATTTTAACTCCAAATAAAAAAAATTGACCTCATACATAGTGAAAAGGGTAGCTTTATCATTTCATAAGAAAAAAATTATAGTAAATATATTAATTCAGGAAAACTTGGCTTATTAGGCAAATCGGGCCTTGAATAGTAGGCTGAGAAGTGAGTTCTGGCTACTAGGTACGACATACATATATTTATTATATATATATATATAATAAATATATATAAATATATATATATATAAAATATATATATATAATAAATATATATAAATATATATATATATATATATATATATATATATATATATATATATATATATATATATATATATATATATATATATATATATATATATATATATATATATATATATATATATATATATATATATATATATATATATATATATATATATATATATATATATATATATATATATATATATATATATATATATATATATATATATATATATATATATATATATATATATATATATATATATATATATATATATATATATATATATATATATATATATATATATATATATATATATATATATATATATATATATATATATATATATATATATATATATATATATATATATATATATATATATATATATATATATATATATATATATATATATATATATATATATATATATATATAATATATATATATATATATATATAATATATATATATATATATATATATATATATATATATATATATATATATATATATATATATATATATATATATATATATATATATATATATATATATATATATATATATATATATATATATATAT